CGATCTCAAATTTTTTAGCAAGAAGAAGGTATCAAGACACATCAATACGCTAGGAAGCTGGCGCTTCATGGTGTTTAAAAAGTTCACAAAGGTCGTTCTTATGGTTTTCTTAGAGAAGAGGAAGATGACTTAATTTAAAAAATAGTATCTTATTGAGTCTAGACTTAATTAAGAAGTATTAATATCTTATTGTTAGATTCGTAAAGCAATCTTAAAATTAGCCAATTCCCACGTCTGTGAGCTAATTTCTCCTGACCTCAACATAACTTCATCCACACCGAAAAGAGAGTATTAGAGGAAGAATGATTGAGTTAACATTTAAATGACTACCTATTAATGAAACTCAATATCATCCATCTCAATGTTCACTTTCTAACAATCACTATCTAATATTTCTTTATTCAATTTCAAAATGAATATACCTCTAAGATATTTACTTGGACCTGAGTGATTTTATTCCATTTATGCTTCTGTATGAATTTCTACCTAAGCTCTAATATACCACCTTAACATATGAATATAAGATCTAGCATCACAAGTTCACAACAATCAACCAGAAACGTGCTAAGCACAAGCTTAATCACAAGACGTGAGCATTTTATAATATATTCTCATTTCCAACACAATTAGAGAAAGGGAGCAAAATAAAATAAATGATAGATATGTTAGATATTGATAAATTATAAGGAATTATGAGTACAGAGGATCAAAAGAAGCTACCACTTCATAAAGGCATAAGAGGAAATATTAGTGGCAAATGGTTCATGATAGCCGTATCTTATTGGATGCAGATATGATACCAGGGTCAATGGCATTCATAATTATCAAGTAAATGTGGGTGTATCGATATAGGTTCTTCGACTACCTAACTATTATTATAATCACACTAATATATAAGAACCAAAATAAAAATATTAGCATCCAGACCCGAGTTAACCAAGAGCTACTCATTATACTGGTACTGCACTATAAGTTGCTCCACGGTCTATTCAGTAGTTTTGATGAACCTGATCTATAAGGACTCGAGAACACTGACCTTATTATGTGGTAAGTTTGACCTCAACATCCTCACGACATGCTATAAAGTGTAGGACCATGGGCAAAGGGAGGAGGTTAGAGGGGAGGGGTCAGGTTCCCCCCAGAGACTCGATCCACATAACTCCTATGTGTTATCTTCCAAAACCAAAATTTGAAGTTCATTAACATCTCCATGGAAGGTGCACTCAAAAGTTAAATTTTCTTTGGCATATCGAATATCCTTGACTCTTAGCCTTATGCTCAAACTCTCTAATACGCCTTATATAAACACAACAGATATCTTTATGAGCTTATCTTGAACAATACAAATAAATGTCAATCTACGATTAGAGAATAATCTCTAACAAATTCATCTTTAGGTAGGGGTAAAACGAAAAGGATAGAATTAAAGGCTTTAATGTAAGAACTTTATAACTAATTTATAAATTTAAACTGATGAATAAGAAGTCCAACTTCCATTAGCCGTTATAACAACCTCAGAAAGCATAGAAGACTTGTTATCACATTTGCTTTCTAGCCCGATAAGCAATTTCCCGTTGCAAACTAAAGATCAAGCTAAAATCTTAAAGGCTATTTTTATCGTTGCAATTACAAATGTTGAGAGACTATTTTTAACTATCATGGAAGCTAAAATGCTTAATCATATGTAAAATCAATGTGAATGACTGCTTAGCAACAAATCAAATTTGATGATTTTGATATTATTAGTAATAAGGCAATTATGTAATAATTTCACGAAATGGCAGGTCATCAAGTTAGTTTGTAAATATATTTGTTTTATGCTTAATTGCATTATTCTTTGGGACCTGGTTTTATTAACTTTAATTATTCTTTTGGACCTGGGGGTACTCTTATATAACATTTGCTGTCGAGTTTGAGACTATATTTTACGTCAAAAATATAATTTATATTGTTAATTGTGATTATCAATGTAATTGTTTTAATATTTTTAAGAGAAGTAATAAGAGTGCTCCCCTCAAGCTCTATTTTCTGGCTACGTCACTGTGTTAGCATCCATTATAATATTTACATCTACATTCTTAAGACAATTAGGGTTAACTGACTGTATGTAATTGTAGGAAACCTTAATCTATCTGTAGGCGTCATGTCTAGAAAAACTAAAATTGTCAAAACTAAATTGACCCTTGAATTAATAGGCATTTGTATTCCGGTTCAATCAACAATCTATAAATTTGGTTGAATAAGTTAAGGTTGTACAGTTACAATGGACTGAATATTTAGCCTAACAAAGTTGCATGTGAAGAAACAAACTGAAGTCCAGCCATCAAGCATATGAATATCCATGAAGCTAATAATTTGCTTAAACTGTTTCGACACCTTAATGATTGCACCTCTAGGTTTCTTTAGATATGTTATGTTCAAACTCTGAACCTTTTGTCCACAACATAATTTCATAAGTTCTACAACTTCTCTTCTTGTCGCTGTAAATTCCTTTTCTCTTATTACTCGCTGAAGCAATCCTGTAGCAACCCAGTTCTTAAGAGAAGATTTGTTAATACTTAAAATCTTACCTAATAAATTTAATAATTAATTGAAGATTTCTTTGAAAAAACTGAAAAATTTGTATTATGAAAAATGCATGTAGGTTTTATGCAAGTATTACGTGTTTGGGATTTCCAAATATGGGTTTTTATTGGTTTTCCAAGCAAAACCTATAGGCCAAAATTTTACATTAATTGGTCACTCAAATAAAAACCTCACATAAGATAGGAAGGGGCAAACACCTTGTTCTCAGCTGCGCTAAGAAAGAAAGCAAAATGGAGAGAGAGCGAAAGAGGTCAAATGAAGTAGAGGAGAAGGAAAGAAGTGAGTCTAAGATAAAATTTATTTTTCTTCCCTTTCTAGTTTGCATCAAAAATCATGTCAATCTAGAATCTCTTAATCTAGCTAACGTTGTTAAATTCAAACCTTTAGACTGAGATGACGAATTCAAGATTCTTAATCATGGGCCTGAATAAAAAAATAAGAGCCTTTTTCGGTTTTTATGCTGATAGTGGGAGCTAACAGAAGCCCCCTTCCCTCCAAGCATCTCGTGGCTGAAGGCTAGGCAAAAATGACAATCATGACTATTCAAGCATAAACAATAGGCTGAGTTTCAATTTAGGTTAGAGACAGAGAAGAACAGGAAGAAGAAATGAAGAAGAAGAAAAAAATCTCATCTTTGAGTAAGTATTATTTATGAATTCATAAACTTGTATATTCTTTGTAGATCAATCCATAGACTAATTTAAGCAAACTATGAGTCCAGAACAAATTTAGTTACATGCTCAGCATATAATAATAATAGACAAGAACATAGCTAAACTACAGATCAAACCCTACATTAACATCTATCTAAAAACTAAACAATGAGAATCTCTACAATCTACGCCTACGCTCTAATGCTACAATATAGATAGCGTACCATATATTCCCTTCTCCAGTCAGGTTACACCCTAACTATAGTTAATTAATCGAGAAGATGCCCTAATCCTACCCAAAACTCAATGAATCAAGCCCTGACTTGAGGAACAGTAAAGGAAAGAGAAGAAAAATCTAATCTTTTACTTAACCTTGTGCTACGTCACACGTTCGGTCAAATAGACTTATTTGATTATAGACACATAGTATAATCACAAATGACGCTCAAATTGAATCACAGCGTGATGCCCTAATTCTACGGAATCACAACAATTATGCCTTAAATTTCAATCAAAGTGAGTTGTGTAGTGGGTACCAGAACGGCACAGTGAGCGAGGACGGCGGGGGTGGAAGTGAGGGCGGCGGAGGAGGACGAGGCGGACATGATTTCTGGGGAGTCAGAGACGGTGTGGAGGAGGATGTTAGCGGCGGAGTGGAGGAGGTGGTGGTTGTTGAGGGGGGAGTTGAGGCGGAGGAAGGCCACCTTGGACTTGAGGTCCTCGATCTCCTGCTTCAGCTCCTCCTCCGTCTCGCTCGCCTCCTCGTAGCATTCTTTGCATGTGCCGGCATCGAGCTCTTCGTACTCTGCTCTGTAAGATTGACACCACAGTTTTTTTGCCCCTTTCTTTTCTTTCTTTCTTTTTTTCACAGACCTCAGCAACTGCTCTGTGCTGGGGAAGTTCTGCTCACCTTTTATTATATGTCATAAACTTACATAGAAGAAGATGAAAATTTAAATTATGTGATAGAATCATCAAAGATAAGTTGAAAAGTCTAGAGCTATATTTGAAAGGACAAATTTTCAAAATGAACCGATTTCAAAATTTAAATAGCAAAACCGACCTCATCGAAATTTAAATAGCAAAACCGACCCTTTTCTTTTGAAAAGGGTCGGTTTTGCTGCGGAAGATTTTTTACGACATACACGGGACTGCTAGTCCCGTGTATTTCGGGGCAGTTGCGAATAACACGGGACTAGCAGTCCCGTGTTTATTGCAGAGACTAACGAAGGTCTGCAAAAAAGAAATGCACGGGACTAGCAGTCCCGTGCATTTTACAGAGCCTGCTGTCTCTGCCAAAAACAAGAGCACGGGACTGCTAGTCCCGTGCAATTCCTGGGCGCAATGAAATGCACGGGACTAGCAGTCCCGTGCATTTCCTGTACATACACTATGCATGCATTTCTGCTACGGGATAATCCCTGTACAAACGCATATTTCAAACGCAACAATCATAAATTACACCATTGCATAAACACATATATCAATTCCCTGTACAAACTCATGTCAATTCCCTGTATAAACACATATCAAATCTAAAAATCATAAAATACACCACAAACTTACGAATCCAAATCCAACAAATCACGCCACAAACTTACGAATCCAAATCCAACAAATCACGCCACAAACCCACTTACAAATCTAATAAGTCACACCACAATCTCAGCTACAAATCCAAAAACCATCTATTGTCCCGAAATACGTTTGTAATGTACATATCAAAATAGGATTGTAATTTATATAACAATACCAATTAGCTTACATACATCCAAGAACTCTTCTCCTCCTCCTTTGTCTTCGGCCTCCTCTATCCCGACCTTCGATGAGTTCATGATCCGGTTGCGTTTGTGGTTGTGACGGTCCAGCTCCGTCGTCAACACGTTGGGAAGGCCCAGCTTCATTGTCGTTTCTGCGTCGTCCTCGTCTGTGTCGTTGTTGACGTGTGTATACTAATTGAGGTACTTCTCGTCCATCATGAAGGTCTTCATGAGTTCGATGTAAGGCTTGGTGAAGCCTCTGCATTATCGACTGATATATTGATGCATGTTTCTGTGCTTCGGGATATGTACCTGCGAGAGATAATTCAAAAAAATCCGAAGTGCAAAAATTACTTTAAAATTCAAATTACAATATGTAAATTTTATATTTAATTCTATATTACCTGCTCGAGCCAATTCCAAGCCACTATTTGCAATGGTTTGAACATCATCTATTGCTGATACCTGCAAATTTTAAAAAAACATAATTTAGCAATATTGAAAAATTCTAATAAAAATAAACTTAAAATAAATTTAAAAATACTTACTAATTCTCTCTCATCTATACCCCGAGGCACATATCCTCTTTGCAACTCAACCGGGGATGTGGTCGCATGGAGTATCCATCTTCTAGTTATCCTCCAATACCAAGTGTAGTAATCTGATTCCTGGGGAGTTGGCTCGATTTGCTCAACAATACAAAAATGTCTATCATTCCATCTGTGTATATAATTTTGATGCTCAGCTGCCATTCCTTTTGTTGGCCTCCTTTCTTCGCCTTCCTCTCTATTTTTTCAACAATTTGTGGAACATGTTGTGCAAGACCAAATTGTCGAAGCACGCGGTCCGGTACATGCATTTCTACTATCTCGAAACATATTAGAGGAACTCTGGCTCTCCATATAACTGGGTATTCTGTGCATATCGGGGGTAGATGATCGAGAAATGGGGTGTAGGGCTCCCATTCCATCTACAGAGTATTACATATAATTGTTGCATATCATTAAAACGAAAGTTGATATATAGAAGAAAAAACTCGTTTTTATAGAAATGATACCTGAAAAATCTTCATGCGGTCAAGCTCATTTCGGTAGAAATCTAACTGTCTCGCCGGGGTCTCGTCAAAACATTTTTGGACATTCCATCTGTGTTAGTTTCAAAATTCAGTACCAAATGAATAACTACAATTATATTTACTACGTTAAAAAATATAATACCTGCATCCTAGTGGAATTTGTCCGTCTAATTGTAAATTCACGCATAGTCTCGGCTTCAAATGCAGCCTCTCCCATGCCCATACTTGCAGTAAGCTGAGACACCCTTTGAGGTCACTATTTTTCATGAATGCAACCTTAGACATCTCTCTATATAGGTACGCCAAAACCGCACTACCCCACGATAACGCACCACACGTGTCCAAGTCCCCGATAAGTGGTAACCACCTAGCATTTTCACAACATTTCAAGTTATCAAAATAAGCTAAATCAACAGACATAATTGTAAATACTGATAAAAATGATACCTGGCATGCACTTTATCTTTACTCGAATCTGGAAATAATATTGAACCGATCATGTGCATAATGTATGCACGTGCATGTTGCTCAATCAATATTGGCGGCGCATCAAAAGGCAACGGCACCGAGAAGGTATTTTTTAGCCACTTCAATTTAATATTTCCTCCAGGCATTGACTCTGGAGCTACACCTAACAACTCCTCACACTTGTCCGGCCAAAAATGTCTATCACTGCCGGTAACGCACGGACCATCTATGCGGAGACCAAGTATCATAGCTACATCCTGTAGCGTAATAGTAGACTCTCCCATTCGGAAGTGGAAAGTGTTGGTCTCCGGCCTCCACCTATCTATCAAAGCGGTGAGTAGGGGCCAATCGAGCCTCATCCAACGAAGCTTTGAACATGTCAAGAAGCCGGCCCGTCCTACAGCTGCTATTATGCGCTCATCCTCTAGATGCCAACGGCTATGGCTGAGGCTATGATCAACCATAACAATATCCGGGCCTCTCTGTAAAGCAAATGAATATATAAGAATACAATATTATAAGAATGCAATATTGAAATTATAAGAAACTTAGTTACCTCTGTAAAAGATATAACATGTGAACGGTGTCGAGGCTGGTCATATAGGACCTCATCACTCGTCGGTCCAGGCTCCATGGTGTATATACCTGCACATACAATTATAACATATCAATAACCGATCCACGACTAATTATATTGTCTACATTAAAATAAATCACAATTTGAATATGTCAATTATTACCAATTAATTGCTATCTATTGAGTCTAGCTGGACAACGAGGTCGAGTATGTCCCGGTTGTTTGCAAAGACTACATTTTTTATGCTTGACAATTCCTTCTCGTCCTTGATCCATGGTTCCCCTAATTCGTACAGATCGTGGTCGACCTGCTTGTCTCTTGTATTGAGGTGGAATTAGTCGTGGTCCAGTATATTCGGGCCAATACCGACTATCATCGGGTGGATGAAAACTCTCACTGTATGTCTTTCGGTAATGAATTGTTGAATACCATGGTGAACAATACCGATTATATGGAATTCTCGCACCACCCGGCTGATTGGAGGAAGCCGCAAGAACATGTGCACAAGGTATTTTTTGAAGTTGTGGTATGTTACATGTGCAAGTGCAATCAACATCAAACAGTTTAACGGTGTAGATACCATCATAATCCTGTACCTGCCATTCATTGTCATTGAATACAGTAATTTGACATAATCTTGCCGCCTCAATTCTTCTATGCAAAATAGACTCATTCTTTGGTGTGTAACGCGTTGTCCAGTCTACACCGTCCTCACGCCTTTTGTTGAAGTATGAGTTTAGCCTATAGAACGTTCTTGCAACCAATGATTGTATTGGCATAGCTCGTGCTCCTTTAAGAACGCCGTTAAAGCTCTCGGAGCAATTAGTTGTCATCATGCAAAACCGCACACCCTCATCCTTACATAATGCCCATCGATGCTCGAATTGAGGCTTCAAGTTATGTTCAATCCAATTATGTGCATCTAATGACAAAGACTTGATCTTCTCTCTACAATGTTCATACACTAATGTATCGGTTGCACACCCAGCTTGCCACAAAAGATTTTGCAAATTAATCTCACCGTGTTTTTTCTTAAAATTATCTCTTATATGCCTCAAACAATATCGATGGTGATGTGGTGCACCAAAACCCTCATGTAATGCCCTTATAATTCCTTTCATCCTATCTGAGATAAAAGTAATTAATATGGGCGCACGAACACTAGGAATCCACTTGTATATAAGTTCAAAGAACCACTTCCAACTAGAAGTATCCTCTACCTCCACAACTGCAAATGCTAGAGGAAATAAACCGCCATTTGCATCTACACCGGTCGCCACAAGAAGCACGCCTTTGTACTTGCCACTCGTTCTTTTATAGAAGAGTCTGGAATACTTTGGATATGATTGTCCCAACCTTCAGTCGGTATAACGGGACTTTGGAATGGCTTCTGTTCTTGATTCCTGTTCGCGTGGAAAACCGTTGCTTTCTTCATTAATGAGATAATTGTCATCTTGAGTTACAACTTTTTGAGTTACAAAAGATCCGGTCTTTTATAGATCCGGTTACAATTAAATCAAAGAAAATAAAGAAAAAATTACAACTCTCCTCTGTGAACAAATCACGAGCTCCTGTTTTGCGGTCGCTCGCTTTGGTGGGTTCTTTGCCTGCGCCGGGGTTAATCCGTGGACCACCGCGCGATCTAGATCCGGTCGGATCTACACGAGTATGCGGGTATTATTCCACGAAGGGAATAATAGCCGGGAGGGATTAATCCACCAAGGGAATAATCGCTCGGATCTCGAGATCTAAGACCAAGCTTAGATCTGGAGTGTAGCCTCGTGTAGATCTCAGATCTGTTCTTTCTTCCTCTCGAGATCCTGCCTTTTCTGACGTGGATGGTCGCCGAGGATCAGATCTGAATGTTGCAAGTCTTCTGGTCTTCAAGCTCCGAGTTCACTCTTCAATCCGGCAGAGTTTCGGCTCTTGAAAGTTCGACCTCCGAAAATGAACATCTCTAGGCCTATTTATAGGCTCTCAGGACAGTGGCTGCAAAAAGGGAATTGTCGGCCACCTCGGGCCACTGTCGGCCACCTCGGGGTGGCCGACACTGTGCCTAGCCACCTTGGGGTGGCTCGGCTCATGGCCGAGCCACCCCAAGGTGGCTCGGCCACCGAGCCACCTCAAGGTGGCTCGGCTAAGGCCGAGCCACCTTGGGGTGGCTTGGCTATGGCCGAGCCCCCGCGGGCGGTGTTTTCCGACTTCTTCGAGTCGTTTTCCGTTGTCTCGTTTGTCCGTGTTTCGGTTGATCTGAGGCTCTGATTTGATGATCTGATTTGGCAGTAAGTTGGATTCCTGATTTGGCAGTAAATCCGCTTCTGAGTTCGAGTCCGAAATTGATCTTGATTCGATCGTGATTCGTCCGAGTTTCCCCTTGGTTGGATGGCTCGTTGATTCCTCAACTCATTAGCTTGATTCTGCACGCGGGTGGATTCATTCCGTCGCTTCCGTGCGATTCGTCGATCTCGTCGCCTCGTTGGCTCGTCGGTTTGTGCCGAGCTATGCTAGGGGACCTATAAGCAATTTTATATGCCTACAACCCTAGGCCAAACATGGCCGATAGAAGGGATCAGAGAAAGGAGATCACCAAGAAGCTAGCCCTCGTAGCCCTCAACACTTCTTTTCCTAGCAAGAAAGAGGGATTCCTCAATTCTACTCCTCCTCGCATGAAGTCGAATCCTAGATCTTGAGACATCAAGTAATATTGTTGATACCATCAAGATCATAACCATCATATTAATGATTGTCGAGTCCTTAGGAGGGATATCAAGGACCTAATAGAGAGCGGATACTTGAGGAAACTTGTTTCCCAGTAGGACAGGAGGGAACCCGCTCTAGGGAGGTCCAATAGGAGGTCCCGCTCTAGATCACCCTGCCTCTATTAGTCGCTTGATACATAGCTGTTGAGATGAGCAATAGGGGCATCATCAACACTATCAGTGGTGGCCCTACCCTACGGTGGGATGGATGTCTAACAATACTTGTAAGAAGTTTGCCAGATGAGCGTTACAGGTCAACCTGTGCGACAAGAAGCCATGGATAGATCAATGCATCTCTTTCGGTGATTCTCACTTGAAAGGCATTAAGACGCCTCATGACGACCCTCTTTTCATATTGACTAAAATCAACAGCTTCTAGGTCAAGAGGATTTTGGTTGACATAGAGAGTTTAATTGATCTCCTATTCATGATGCCTTTAATTAGATGGCCATCGAAAAGTCCAAGTTGTAGCGTTCTCGGGGTCCCCTCATTAGATTCATAGGACATTGGCTCCTACAAGAAGGAATAATCACTCTCCCTTTAATAGTCGGTGAATGTCCTCGTTAGTCCACTGTACAGACTCGGTTTGTAGTGATGAGCCTCAAGTCGACCTACAATGTTATTTTTGGAAGAACTGGCCTTTATAACTTGCAGGTAGTTCCATCCACTTACGACTAGATGGTGAAGTTCTCGATCCCTGATGGAGTCAAAATTACCAAAAGCAACTAACGAGAAGCCAAATATTGCTATTTGCTCTCAATGAAAAGGGAAGGAGTATTGGAGACCCTACCAATCGAAAAGGCAAGCCTCCAAATGGAGAAAGTGTTGGAGTAAGAGAAGACAACCCCCGTCGAAGAGCTCCATGAGATACCAGTTGACCAAGAGGGAGTGAAGAAGATCAAGATCAGGTTGAGCCTTGTTGAACCCCAACAAGGAGCTATGATTGTGTTCCTACGAGAGAATACAAATGTATTTGCTTAGGAGCCCGAAGACATGCCGGGAATTTCCCTCGAAGTAGAAATCCATGAGCTATTAGTCGACCAACATTCCAAGCCAATTCGATAGAAGAAATGATATCTCGACCATGAGAGGCAAAAGGAGGTTGCCGATGAAGTCAACTAACTTCTTAACCAGCTTCATCAGGGAAGTGCAATACCCAGAGTGGTTGTCCAATGTGGTATTGGTGAAGAAGTCCCTTGGAAAATGAAGGATGTGCATGGACTTCACAGATCTAAAAAAACTTAATAGAAGGACAGCTACGCCCTTCCCAGGATCGACCAGCTTGTAGACGAAAGTGCGGGTCATGAACTACTCAATTTTATGGATGCATTCTCTCGCTACAACTAAATCCTTATGGTTAAGCATGATGAAGAGAAAACCTCATTCATAAAGGACCAAGGGACCTATTGATATAAGGTGATGCCTTTTGGCCTTAAGAATGTAGGTGCTACTTACCAAAGCCTGGTCAACATTATCTTCAAGCCCCAGATTGGCCGTAACATGGAAGCCTATGTGGATGACATCCTTGTTAAGTCAAAGCAGGCATCGTCTCATGTATTAAATCTTGAAGAGACCTTCTCTGACCTCAGACGTTACCGCATGAAGATCAACCCGCCAAGTGCTCTTTTAGGGTATAATCAGCCAATTCCTCAAGTGATATGTGTGTATCTTCTCTTCGGAACTTATCAATCCTCATGGGAGCTTGAGGATAGATGATTCTCATGATAACATAAGAATAGAGGTGTCAAAGAGTACAAGGGAACGCAGGAGGAAGCGTGGAACGAGACGACGAGCAGAAGAATCGAAGTATTCAGTTTTCAGCCCGTGAGTCGACTCATAACAGTCATGAGTCGACTCATCAGGTTGAGTCGACTCATGACTGTCATGAGTCGACTCATCACTGGCTTTTGTGTTTTGTCCAGTTTCGGACGAGTTGACTCATCTCAGTCATGAGTCGACTCATCGATGGTTTCCTGGTTTGTTTGGGTTTCTGTTCACATGAATTCCTGTTGGTTTTGGGCTTGGTTATTTACCAGATTGCCACCCTCATTTGTACACCTATATAAAGGATTGTTTTAGGGTTTCTAAAGAATCAGAGAGATTTGAATTAAGAGAGATTCTAATCATTGTATTAGGGTTTAGTGAGAATTGAGAGTTTGTTCTCGATTTTA